ACAAGTGGGACAAGAGCTGTGGCTTGCCCCCACAAACTCAGTAGGTAATTACATACACTCGCATACACACTAACACATGTTCACATATTGTATCAAATGGACATATTCAGTTTGAAAAATACTTGTATGCACATGGTACAAGAAAATGCTGTTAATCACAAACTTATGTTTTATGTTCACCACATTAGGTTCAATTTGTTTAAAAGTTTTCATTGATCACAACAATAGAATCACATATCTCACAAGCAGGAATGCACAACCTGCTTGTACAAGTGTCTACCCTACTTGAATGATGCTGCTAGCTATTTTGTCAGGGCTATGCATTGATATCATGCAATGTGTCGTAGCTTGTTAGCATTCCTAGTTTAAGAATAATTCAATAAAATTTTTGTATACATGACTAGTTTTATTGACATCTTAGTGTGTAGCTGTTATATAATACTGCACTATGCAGACACACAGTGAAATGTGTACATTTTTAGGTACATTATATCCATCAATGAAACTTTGTTTTTTCCTGATTTTGCAAGACAATTGCTTATTTGGGAACCTTTAAGTGGTTGCCTGAATTTTTTTCTTCTACTTTGTTTTTATTGTGCTTATAACTCAAAAAACTCTCATACAGTCTAATTCTAATGTTCAGTCCCAGTATGAGGTAACAAGCACTAGATTCTAGAAACAATCACATGTGCAGGTGTCCTCTAACCAAAGTTATTTAACCCATTCCCATCATCCTAGAATGGCTCAAATAACTTCCCAAACTCTCAGTAACATGGCTCTTAATTTGATAAAGGCAGAGAGTGAAATTCAATTACTGGTGCATCTTATGGCCAGGATAGTACCCATCCGGTTTATTTCATGTCGGCAAATTTATCGATGCAATGAATATTTTTTACATTTTGATTTTTTGAAATTTTGATCAAATTGGACTATCTTAAAAAAGAACCCTAACATCCGTGTTACTTTTTCATTTGGGTCACAACAGAAAAACTATAAAAATAAAGTGTCTCTGCAAAGACAGTGATTGAGTGATGGTGAAAGTGTTGAATGATAAAAGTTTTTTCTTTCTTTTTGGGTCACCCTGCCTTGGTGGGAGACAGGTGACATGTTGAAAAAAAAAATAAAGCTTTATGACCCTTTTGGCTTTAATGCTTAATTTGAAGTGGAACAGAATTCTTCCTCCATAAGCCATTCATGTCGTAAGAGGCGACTGAAATGCCAGGAGCAAGGGGCTAGTAACCCCTTTTGTATACATTACTATAGTTAAGAGAAACTTGTTTTTCTTTTTGGACCACCCCTCCTCAGTGGGATATAGCCGGTTTGTTGAAAGAAGTAAAAAAAAAAATCAGCCATGCAATTAGAATTACTGGCACTACAGAAATGCTGGGGTTACGTCTTCCTACACCTGTTAGGACCACTGGGGGTTAGCTTTACTTTTGATAGTTAGTATAATAAATTTAGTCAATCCCTGCCTTAAATATCTGTGTTGAATCTTCTCTGGTTTGTATTATTATTATAATCAAAAAGAAGCGCTAAGCCACAAGGGTACACAGCGTCCTGGTATTGTAAACAATATAAGAGAGGACAGTACCATAAAGGAAGGCTCCTTATGTTGTGTAGGGGCTTCTTGATTAGGGAATTGGATCTGTGCTTCCGGTTCCCCTAATGGGCCTGAATCCTTTACCACCCCAAAAAACGTGCTGTATAACTACAGGTTTAGCACTCCCCTTATGATTATAATAATAGTTAATGGTCCAAGTCGGACTGGAACAACATTAGTTTTATTTTCGTATGTGCAGGTTATTTGTGTACACTCCTCAGGTTTCTCTTCCTGAGACATCTGCCCATATCCCTGCCAATTATATACCTCATGCGCAACCCAGGAACATGGTCGAGGTTACCATAGGTTTATTTAGGCACACCCCTCAAGGAAGGTTCCTTGATGTTGGTGAGGGGCTCTTGATTTAGGGAATTGGATCTGTGCTCCAGTTCCCCGAATTAAGCCTGAATGCCTTCCACATCCCCCCCCAGGCGCTGTATAATCCTCCGGGTTTAGCGCTTCCCCCTTGATTATAATAATAATAATTATTTAGGCACAGATACACAAGATCCCAATGGAAATAAGTCACTTGTTTTGACTTTTTTGGGTTATCCTAGGTAAGTTACACTATGATAGCTGCATGGCCCTTGTCGGTTTAGCGCTTTGATTATAATAATACACTATGATAATTGTATATGTACATGTGCCTAAATAAGCTTACTAGTTTAGCGCTTCTTTTTTATTATAATAATGCTTTCTCACACATAAGTATAATTATCTTGCTAGCGCTGTATGACCCTTATGGGTTTAGTGCTTAGTTTTGATAATTATTCAATAGTAATAATTATTTCATTTTCAACTGAATTATCCTCCAGGATAACCAAAAAAAAGTCCTATGGCTACATAAAGCCTGTTATTGTGGACTCAGGTGTGTGTTGCAGGTGTGTTACTCTGCCGGGGTTCAGACAAGTAAGTTTATTCAGGTATACACAAACACAGTTACATAGAATTATCATACATAGCAGCATATGTGTAGAGAACCCAGGATAACCCAAAAAAGTCAGACATAAGAACATAAAGGAGGAACACTGCAGAAGGCCTGTTGGCCCATACTAGGCAGGTCCTTTACAATTCATCCCACTAACAAAACATTTGCTCAACCCAATTTTCAATGCCACCCAAGAAATAAGCTCTGATGTGAAAGTCCCACTCAAATCCAACCCCTCCCACTCATGTACTTATCCAACCTAAATTTGAAACTACCCAAAGTCCTAGCCTCAATAACCCAACTAGGTAGACTGTTCCACTCATCAACTACCCTATTTCCAAACCAATACTTTCCTATGTCCTTTCTAAATCTAAACTTACCTAATTTAAATCCATTACTGCGGGTTCTCTCTTGGAGAGAGATCCTCAAGACCTTGTTAATATCCCCTTTATTAATACCTATCTTCCACTTATACACTTCGATCAGGTCTCCCCTCATTCTTCGTCTAACAAGTGAATGTAACTTAAGAGTCTTCAATCTTTCTTCATAAGAAAGATTTCTAATGCTATGTATTAATTTAGTCATCCTACACTGAATGTTTTCTAACGAATTTATGTCCATTCTGTAATATGGAGACCAGAACTGAGCTGCATAATCTAGGTGAGGCCTTACTAATGATGTATAAAGCTGCAGTATGACCTCTGGACTTCTGTTGCTTACACTTCTTGATATAAATCCCAGTAATCTATTTGCCTTATTACGTACGCTTAGGCATTGCTCCCCTCAAGGAAGGTTCCTTGATGTTGGTGAGGGGCTCTTGATTTAGGAAATTGGATCTGTGCTCCAGTTCCCCGAATTAAGCTTGAATGCCTTCCACATCCCCCCCCCCCCAGGCGCTGTATAATCCTCCGGGTTTAGCGCTTCCCCTTGATTATATAATAATTAGGCATTGCTGTCTTGGTTTAAGGTTGCTGCTTACCATAACCCCCAAGTCCTTTTCGCAATCTGTATGGCTAAGTTCTACATTATTTAACTTATAAGTACTAGGGTTATGGACACTCCCGAGCTTCAGAACCTTGCATTTATCTACATTGACTGATCTGCACTTTTGACCAGAGTTAGAGTTTGTCTATAATAAATCCTCCTGAAGTTCCCTAACATCTACGTTTGAATCAATTATCCTACCTATCTTCGTGTCATCGGCGAATTTGCTCATATCACTAGTAATTCCTTCATCAAGATCATTGATATATATTATAAACAACAACGGGCCCAAGACTGATCCCTGTGGAACGCCACTTGTTACTGATCCCCACTTGGATTTAACCCCATTTATGGACACTCTTTGCTTCCTGTCTGTGAACCATGATTCGATCCACGAGAGCACCCTTCCCCCAATGCCATAGAACTAGACTAGAACAAGAACTGCAAAGGCCTACTAGGCCATGCGAGCAGTCCAAGTCTCTACCGCTTAAGCCAAGCACAACTAAGTAGGTCAGTTCAATTGACTTAGGAAGGAACAGGCACCAACTGGTAGAACAAGCTATCAGGTCTAACTCACACCACCCAATCTACTATGTATTTTCCAACTATTTTTAAAATGCTCACACGTTCTGGCCTCTATAAAAGGTACTTGAGTTTGTTCCATCATCACAACTTTTATTACAAACATACTTTCCTATATCTTCCGAATACTGAATTTACTTCCAAAAAAAACCATTGCTGCGAGTCGTCTAGGCTAGATATTTTCAGCACCTATTTACATCCCTTATTTATTCCTGTCTCCATTTAATACACCTCAATCTATCCCCCCTAATTCTACGTCTTTCTAGAGAGGGCAGTTTCAGGGCCTTCAGTCTATCCTCATAGGGAAGGTTTCTGATACATGGGATCAATCATGAGCTGCTACTTTCTTTAACAGTCTATGGTGCGGAACTATCAAAAGCCTTACTAAAATCTAAGTAAATAATATCAAATTCATTATCGTGGTCAACAGCCTCAAAAGCTTTACTGAAGAAAGTTAATAAATTAGTTAGACAAGACCAGATGTGACAGAGTGACTTATTTCCATTGGGGTCCACTTGACCTATTTGGAAACCCATTGTTCCAGTTTCTCCTTCCTGAGGAAACAGTTTCCTTTTTAATTCATATTCAGATTCGGGTAATAAATCTTGTCTTGATACTCCAATACTGAAACTATGTACTGTGCCAAAACAAAAGCATTCACATTGCTAAACTCACAAACTAGTATTTAGTCACTTAGCCATAATACCAACTTACCTCATAATTTGTAATATTTTAAAATAAAGAATTAAACTAAGTCTGCCCGAAATGCCTAGCCATGCTAGGCGTTCTAGTGGTACACTCTGTAATCATTATTTTACTACATGTAAACCACACAACAACCAAATTCTGTAAATTCACATTGTAATCTTTATAGAGAATAAACTTTGAATTTGATTTGAATTTGAAGCTGGACTCAATAAAATGGAAACTTTAGCGGCCCTTAACAACCCAACAACAACAACAACTATACAACAAAAGTTGGAGGTAAGAAAATAAGATAAGATAAGTAAGTTTATTTAGATATATGTACACTCATATACAGTTATGCAAATTCAGGTGTTTAAAATTATCATTGTAACATAAGTATAAATTATCCACCAGGATAAACGCCCTAAAAAAGCCAAGTGACTTTTACTTTTAATCAACAAAATCTGTTGCGTTTTATTGCTAATTTTTTTATAAATTGACACTTTTTGGTCTTAGTTGAAGGTTTAAACGGCCTAAATAACATCAAAAAATGAAGAATTATATCACCGTAGACCAGAGTAGAGATATTTATATGTCCCGTGGCCTGGTAGGTAACACACTCGCCTCACACAGTGTCCGTGGTTCGATCCCCGGCACAGGTGGAAACATTGGGCGTGTTTTCTTACACCAACTGTCCCAGTTCATCTAGCAGTAAGCAGGTACCTGTGTGTTAGTGGACTGGTGTGGGTCGCATCCTGGGGACAAGATTAACGTAAGTTGCAGGAAATGTTCTGCATAACAAGAGGATTTCTGTATAGTATATCATTGATGTCAGCTATGGTCTGTATAAGTTGTATCATGTATGTGTAGAAATAATTATTATTATTATTATTATTATTAGTTTAGGTTAGGTTTGGTTACATTAAGTAATACTACATAACTCGACATAAACTAATGAAACCCATTGCAACCAAACTAAATCCAACCCAACTCAACCCAACCCTGGACCTGGGAGTGATAATTTCAGGGCAGGCGGTGCAACATATCCCCAGTGAAAAGCAGTGGCGCCATGAGTACACTAAGAGACAGATAAGATAAGATAAGATTTCGTTCGGATTTTTAACCCCGGAGGGTTAGCCACCCAGGATAACCCAAGAAAGTCAGTGCATCATCGAGGACTGTCTAACTTATTTCCATTGGGGTCCTTAATCTTGTCCCCCAGGATGCGACCCACACCAGTCGACTAACACCCAGGTACCTATTTGCTGCTAGGTGAACAGGACAATAGGTGTAAGGAAACGTGTCGGAATTTCCACCCGCCGGGAATCGAACCCGGGCCCTCCGTGTGTGAAGCGGGAGTTTTAGCCACCAGACCACCGGGCCACAGTAAGTGTTAGGGGCCCAAGACTGTTCAACTGTCTCCCAGCATATATAAGGGGGATTACCAATAGACCCCTGGCTGTCTTCAAGCAGGTACTGGACAGACACCTAAAGTCAGTACCTGACCAGCCGGGCTGTGGTTCATATGTCGGTTTACATGTGACTAGCAGTAACAGTCTGGTTAATCAGGCCCTGATCCACCATGTTTGGTCATGTACCAGGCCACGGAGGCGTTGACCCTCAAAATACCCCTCAAGGTGTACCCAACCCAGCCTTACCTACCTTTGATGAGTTGTGAGAGTTTTTCTTACTTCTGGCCATGGACCAGGCTCGTCTGGTGCTAGTCTGGCCAACCAGGCTGTTGCTGGTGGTGGTCCACTGATCCACATATCACAGCCTGGTTGATCTGACACCTGTTAAAAAATTCTACAATGCTACTCATATGTGCTGTGAAAATCCCGCCTGATATTCCTAAGTGGTGAACAATCAAGTGGCGGCCACTGATGTGTTTTGAGGAGAGAATATTAACGGGAATGCCAAGGAATAATGCCTTGCCACTTTATGGATATGGAGCAAATGTTACCATGTAAATCCTTCTTTTAACAAAAGTATTTCAGTGGCTAATATCTTCTAAATTAGCAATTTGCAAAACAAATAACTACTCTTGCCTGGGTTTGGATACCTTGCTTGTATGTTAAGATGGAAGTAAATAATGGAGCTATACCTAGCAATTGTTCCCCATATTGACTGGACTCTGATCTCGTGAACCGGAACTAACCTCCCCAGTCAGATTAAACCTGATTACCTCCCATTCTTTACAAGCTGTATGACCCAGCCTCTACAGGTTTAATGCTTTCCCATAAACATAACAATAAAAATTGGGGCACTGACATATGTACGGTATGGCAGAAGGTATATATAATGTAATTGAGCTATAATTTTGCTTTTTTGTATTAATCATTATGTTGTTTTCAGTGATCGCATTAATTGATGTTACAAAAGAGGAACTCAACAGCATCCACTTAATGCACATCATATACTGAGGAAGATTATTCATTTGTCTTGAAAATGGCAGCTAAGCAGAGAAGCTCAAGGAAATCCCCCGGAATTACTAAACAAACATTGAAAGCAGATAGTCAGCCCAAGTAAGTGTTAATAGCATCACTGGGGTGAGAACTTTGGGTAACTTTGTATATAGGTTAGATGGGCATACGAATGGGTGTGAGTTGGACCTCCCTTGATGCACCATGGGACTACTGTAATGTTCCTTCAATCTTATGGTCCTTTGCATAAACATACATACATTATACACACACATACATAAATACATACATTCATATAAGTATATCATCAGTTATCCAGTGCCGTTGGTGAGATGTGACAAATTTTGTGCCAAAAGTAAATCTTTTAGCAGGAAGGTCAGTTTGAGTGTGTTGAGACAGTGCAGACGGCAAAAGTGAATTCTGCATGCCTACTGATAGACAGCATTATCTATCAACATATGGTGAACAGACAGTGCAATCTGACAGTCCTCACAGAGTGGTGTCATGCATTTTTTTTGATGACATCTGATTTTGAAAAAAATCAAATTCCAAGAAAGTTTATATGTTTATTAATAATCCAGTAATATTGATGCACCTAGGAAAATTTCAGCAAAATGGGTTGGTTACTGTTATATTTCTGTAAATTAAGAGTAAGGTATATTATGAAAAGTTTTCCTAGCTCACATATAAGTATAAGGCAATAAGTCAAAAAATATACAAATTTTCTTTTTACACTTTTTTCATGTTTTTGCAGTTCTGAAAGGGAAACCATTCAACTTGGACCCCGAATTGATTGGCGGCGTATCTTTACTCGTCTGCTGATGATAATTGGGATAATGATTGTTGTGTACTTCAGTAAAGCAAATAAAATGGTTAGCATAAATTTTTTGCTATAGTTACTTGTTACTTGGCCTTTTTAAAGTATGTATATAATGAAGAGTGCACAGTTGCTATAAAGTGAATCAAATTTTACCACTCAAATCCATATTCATACTGTATAACAAAACACATCTGTACATTATAACCAATAATCATTTCATACACAAGGAAGTACGTATACCACTGTCTCGTAATATCTTCAAAGATTTTTGCATTACTACATTATTTCAGACACAGATAGCAATAGACCACTTGGCTTCCATCGTTGTAGAAAGCTCTGACACGGAGGCATTGAAATGAAAGCCTCTTCCCTTCCAACCTTTTTTTTTCTTTCTTATACTGGACTCATTAAAGTTTTATTTTCGTGGGGCAACTCCATTAATTTAAAAATTAATATGCCAGTGCAGTACACAATGTTTTGCTATTCTTTTGCTTTCTTTACCTCTGTTGTTATGTTCCTTTCTCAATGTTTCTTCCCTTCTGTTGTCTCTTGTATAAGCTTGCTGAGGTATTCATCATTCCTTTTCTTTGGTACATAAATGAATACTGTCAAGTTAGAAGGGCCAGATTTTTTTTAACTTGACTGTTGAGTGATATATTGTATTTAAAAATTTTTGCTAACCTCTTGTACACATCATTAATTTTCTTTTAAATATAATTATGAATGTTACAGGTACCATTTGCAACACAAAAAGAAGAGATTAGTAAGCGATCAGTTGAGATTGGTTGCTCAAAAGATTATGCTGAAGAACTCAAACATTTCCCAGGTAAATAAGTCTTTTACCAATCACAATAAACTTATTGCTGATATTTTTTACTCTAGAGAAGAAAACATTCACCATCACTTACTCCCTAGTTGTCTTTTCAGAAAGGCACAACCATGATCCAGTTTTGACCTGCTGAAATGCAACATTCCCACCTGACTTTTAAAAATGCATCATTATACTTAGTACAGTACTCCTCTCAGATATTTATACTGTATTACCATTTTCACACTCCAGTATAAGGGTGGCCCAAAAAATTATATTTGGCATGTCTTTCTGAACAAGATTGTCTATGTTTCATGTTAAAATGTAAATATTCCTGCAAAAAACTAGACAGATCAGACAAATTATTGCACATACTCAGGGAATGTGCAAATACAGTACAGTAGTAACTTCCTCTAAACACTGTCCAATCTGTCTTAAGTGTTTGTATGTATACTTACATGTTACATGGACTGCTTTGTGATGAAAGACATTCCCAGTGTTTATTTTTGGGGAACCATCATAGTGAATATGTATTTTTTGCCTTCTCACAAATTGGTCTATATGTTAAAAATAATACAGTTCAAACAAATTGAAATTTATTTCAGGATGTACGCCCAGAAAGTGTGGACGTGTTGTTTTGGACACCTTGGTGACACCCTCGGAAGTAGCAGCTCTTCTCAACATTGCTGAGCGAGGACTGTCCATGGGAGGCTCTACTGGTGGTGCATCCATTCTAGATTTACATTCTGGAGCTCTTTCACATGGCAATGCTTTTGTCAATATCTATAAATTAGAAGAGGCAAAAACCCTTTTCACCATTCAAGACTTCAAGATATATAGGTATGTTAGTGTGTTAAACACTTGTTGTTTTGAATTTTTTGTTTATAATTAAATTTGTCTTATTTGTTTTTATTTCCAATGTATCTCTGTAACCTGTATTCAAGGTTACTAAATCTTGTGAATGATGGACTCATAATGAGGATGATAGCACTGTGTATATTTTTTTCTAATAATAGGAAAGGTTGGAGGGAGGGGATTAAGGAGGTTTTGTATATGAAGGTCTTGGACATCCAACAAGTGTGTGAGAGCATATTAGATAGTAGAGGCAAGTGGTTAATATGGCCTGATGTGATGTTGCAGTGTAAGCAAAGTAACGTGAGGGGATTCAGGGAAACCAGTTAGCCAGCTTCCTGGAGGTGGGAAGTACAGTGCCTACACTCTGAAGGAGAGGTGAGATTATTGCAATTTGGAGAGGCATCAGAGCTGTGATGTTGGCATGCCTCTAGCAGGACAGTAATGGAGTGAATGATGGTGAAGGTGTTTCTTCTTTTTTTAGGCCTCCCTTCCTCAGTGGGAGTTGGCCAGTGTGTTAAAAAAAAAAAACTTGAGTGAAGGGCCTCCCTTCTGTTATGGAATGTAATCAAGTCCAGTTCAACCTGCCAGTGTTGTCTGTCTTTCAGAGATGAATCATTTAGATGAGGTTCTGTTTGTCTTCACTTAAGGGCCGAAGTTGGATGGAAAAGTGATCTAGAGATTTACCTCTAATTTGTAGACTAGTTGAGTAGTACAATCATCTTGACTTGTGGTCAGATTTAATAGCATTTTCCTAAGTTTTTCACTCATGAATTAACAATACTTACATTATCTTTTCAGTTATGTTAAGAATAAGATTCACCATGCGATTGCTGATCACTTTGGTATTAACAGAAATGAATTGTATCTGACACATCCAACTTTTTTTTCAAGAATCACTCCTGCTCCTCCACAAACAATTCATGATGAGTATTGGCATCCTCATGTTGATAAGGTAAACTTTTCTTTAACATGGTTATCTATGTTGCACAGGCTAACTTGTATTAATAATTCCACATTAAATTCTCCTTTCACATGTCCTCAAAAATACACTACATTTGCTGAATCTTAAAGCTTTAATGAGTATCATCTAGAATACATACATCATCCATCTATGCATTCTTCATTGTGAACATGGATGACTACTTTTGAGAATTGCTTTTCTTGGGGTTCATTTTGTATTGAATATTACCATGAGTCTGTATCTCTGATGCACTGTTGTGCATCCCACTTTGTTACACTGACTTGAACACAACACAAACACCATTAGAGATTAGCTTTCGTTTATTTTGGCCTTTACTGTAAAATTTGAGTGCTAGGCTAAACTTTGATAGAGTTAAAGAAAGTAGATTGTGAGACTACTTTTATTTATTAATAAAGGTAGAATTACCAACTAAATGTTAGGTAAAAGGATAGAGATGCAACTAATGTGACATTTTATTGTGGCAACGTTTTGCTCTCCAAGAGTTTTGTCAAGCTCCTGGAGAGCAAAACGTTGCCACAATAAAATGTCACGTTAGTTGCATTTATGCTCTTTTACCTAATACTTTTATTTATTTACTTTTTGTGTATGACGTAACTTAATATTATAGTAGACCATTGCTAGCAAATGATTAAGAAGAGATAACAGTGTCAAGAAAAATATAAATATACAAACTTTATTTCTTTTCTGCAGTATACACAATGTAATTTACATATATGAAAATATTGTTAAGCACAAAAGAAAACCACTAGCATGCAGTGCCTTTCAGGCAGTGTAGTGCATTTCAGGCAGTGCAGTGCATTTCAGGCAGTGTAGTGCATTTCAGGCAGTGCAGAGCAGTGCATTTCAGGCAGTGCAGTGCAGTGCATTTCAGGCAGTCTGGTGCAGTGCATTTCAGGCAGTGTAGTGCATTTCAGGCAGTGCAGTGCATTTCAGGCAGTGCAGTGCAATGCATTTCAGGCAGTGCAGTGCATTTCAGGCAGTGCAGTGCATTTCAGGCAGTGCAGTGCAGTGCATTTCAGGCAGTCCGGTGCAGTGCATTTCAGGCAGTGTAGTGCATTTCAGGCAGTGCAGTGCAGTGCATTTCAGTCAGTGCAGTGCAGTGCATTTCAGGCAGTCCAGTGCAGTGCATTTCAGGCAGTGCAGTGCAGTGCATTTCAGGCAGTGCAATGCATTTCAGGCAGTGCAGTGCATTTCAGGCAGTGCAGTGCATTTCAGGCAGTGCAGTGCATTTCAGGAAGTGCAGTGCATTTCAGGCAAGGCAGTGCAGTGCATTTCAGGCAGGGCAGTACAGTGCATTTCAGGCAGTGCAGTGCATTTCAGGCAGTGCAGTGCATTTCAGGCAGTGCAGTGCATTTCAGGTAGGGCAGTACAGTGCATTTCAGGCAGGGAAGTGCAGTGCATTTCAGGCAGGGCAGTGCAGTGCATTTCAGGCAATGCAGTGCAGTGCATTTCAGGCAGGGAAGTGCAGTGCATTTCAGGCAGTACAGTGCATTTCAGGCAGGGAGTACAGTGTATTTCAGGCAGGGCAGTACAGTGCATTTCAGGCAGTGCAGTGCATTTCAGGCAGTGCAGTGCATTTCAGGCAGGGAAGTGCAGTGCATTTCAGGCAGGGCAGTGCAGTGCATTTCAGGCAGTGCAGTGCAGTACATTTCAGGCAGGGAAGTGCAGTGCATTTCAGGCAGGGAAGTGCAGTGCATTTCAGGCAGTGCAGTGCATTTCAGGCAGGGAAGTGCAGTGCATTTCAGGCAGGGCAGTGCAGTGCAGTGCATTTCAGGCAGTGCAGTGAATTTCACATCATTTTAAATTTTCGTATTACATTTTAAAATTATTCCATTAATTTGTCTGAACAGCTGTATGTATATCTGCAAGAAAATGATTGGGACACTGTCCTTGATTGTTAACCAGTTGGCATGAAAACTTATTAAATTTGTCATCTTTTTAATATTTTTTTTGTTTTCAGGAGACCTATGAATCATTCCATTACACCTCTTTGTTGTACCTAACTGATTATAGGTATCATTTTGATGGTGGTCGATTTATCTTCATTGACAAAGACTCGAACAAAACAGTGGAGCCTCGTGCAGGTAGGACTTGGATGTAAATGTATAAATTCACTGTCATTCATAATTATATCCAAAGGCTGTATGGAATACTTCTTTATGTATGGGCTGTATATTATTATTCATTTGTCTAAATGTGTGTTTTGGCAGTAGTGTATACATGAAGATATATGTTTGTATGACTACAGTTTGGAGGGATATGTTGTGTATCTTTATACGTATATGCTTCTAAACTTTTGTATTCTGAGCACCTCTGCAAAAGCAGTGATAATGTGTGAGTGTGGTGAAAGTGTTGAATGATGATGAAAGTATTTTCTTTTTGGGGATTTTCTTTCTTTTTTGGGTCACCCTGCCTCAGTGGGAGACGGCCGACTTGTTGAAAAAAAAAAAATAAAATAAAATGACTACAGTAGTTATGATTACAGTATCTGTAATTACAGGCATAAACCTATGTATGTATTCCTTTATTTTATCAAATTTATCATTGATATTTTTTAAAGTTTTCCATGATATTGCTGCAAAATTCCTCCTCTTGCAATTTTCCAGCTGTCAACCACTATTTTTCTTCATAAAGAGCTTCTAGGCGATTTTTCTGTACTATTTCAAATGGTTTTTTAACTGTATCCTCTTGTTCTGCTTATTGCCATTTTTTCATATCTTTTTTTTTTATATTACTATCTCAGATTGTCATGTCTTCACAGTTGAAGCCAGTTCCTCATATTTAACACATTTGTATCTGCTTTCTGAGGTCACCCCTCATACTCACCCCATTTTTCTCTAAGTTGACAAGCATTAACTGCATTACTTGTTTTTCAAGTGCTATGTACATCATACAGCTTTCTTCTCCATTACTTTTTGCTTTTGCACACTATATGGATCATTTTTCACCAAGCCAGAGTGAGCCCCAAACATGGAAGCACATTCACCATCATTCATTCTGTCTGTCTGTCTTGCCAGAAGTGAGCTGACATCACTTATTTTTTCTACCTATAGAGCTTAACTCTAACTGGTTTCCCCTTAATCCCTTCATAGGGTGTTACTTTACACTCCAGTACCATGTTAATTACCTGCATTTATGACCTGGAGAGGGTTTCGGGGATCAACACCCCTACGGCCCTGTCTGTGATAAGGCCTCTTTCTCTATATGACTAACTTCAAGAAATTTTAACACATGAATGTGCTGGGTATACAGTATGTGACTGGTAATGTTACTGAGAAAGGTTCTGCATGAAGTCATATTGTCAGTGATGAGAAACTTGTCGTCTCATGAGCACAGCAGATGTTAAATAAATCCATACAAACTTTGTCATACTGTACCATTACTCTCATGAGTGTTAATAGCTCTTAGTTCTGTATTATTTCTTTTCCAGTCTAGGTTTGGTCTGAAACTGGGCCACAGGGTTGATGATCCATTAATAGATATTTAATTTACACAAATAACCCACACATAGGAGAAAGAAACTTTATGATGACGTTTTGGTCCGACTTGGACCATTGACTAGTCGAACTGTATGACTAATCAGTGTTCCAAGTCAGACTGAAACATCGTCATAAAGTTTCTTACTCCTGTATGTGAGTTATTCGTGTATTGTTCCAGTCATGGTATTGCACCTTTGTGTTCTAGATATTTAATTTATACATGCAGCACATTAAATAATTCTTTTGTTTATCTCACCAGGACGAGTGTCAGCCTTCACCTCTGGATCAGAAAATTTGCACTATGTTGAGAGAGTGACAAATGGCACAAGATATGCCATTACTGTTTCCTTCACTTGTGACCAGAGACACGCCATTAATGATCCCATGTTACGAAAGTGATTTGTTTATATCTGTTCCAATATTTTTATCTATTTGTATTTTTGTAATGCAAAATAAGAACCCATTGTACATCACAACATAGAGATAATTCAATTTTGAAAATGTAGTGAATTGAACTTTTAGCATCTAAGTGCTGTAATGTTATAGCATTTTTAATTTACTCATAGGTATTGCAATATTATTGTATATGGTATAGGGTATTAATTTTTTCTAGTTACATTAGCAGAGTTACCTATTGTTATCCCTGTTCGAATATTTATATATTTAAAGCAATTATTCAGATACAGTTCTTGTTTTGGAAATGTTAAACTCTTAATAAGATTCTGTTAATGAATTAATTCCATATTATATCTACTCATTATGTCTTTCTGGTGATAGACGGCTTTTCTTAAATACGGTTATACAGGAGGGCCCCGTTTTACAGCTCTTCATTTTACATCATTTCACTAATACATTGGTTTTCAATTATTCACATTTTTCATTTATTCGAACTTGCTGCAATAAATATATTCACCACTCACTACAAGCTATGGACAGAAATATTTTAAGATAAGTAATGTGTGTATTGAATATGCATTTTTAGGCCTAGCTCTATTGCTCGCTTAATGTATGGTACTGTGAATATGCTATCAGGCTTTTATATGAATTTGAAAGTAAAAAAAAGGCTATGCTTCAGTTAATGGCAATTTTTGCTTTACAGCAGTAGCCTGGAACCTAACCTGCTTGTACTGATTTTTTCAAATACTTTTAGTACACTTTGTGTTTACTCTTTGTTAATATACATATTGACACTGTCAACGTAAATGCTGTACTGTGTTTTATCTCAATAATTTTCACACCTTGGATAAAATGGCAAACATTGCCTACATACATCACTCTTGCTTATAAATAGATGTATTCAAAATGAAGCAGTAGACCATAAAACAACGTAAATGAAAAAGTATAAGACATTTATTTGCAGTGCTGTGTGTTGAGATTCTCTTGTAAGTATCTGGTAACTAAATAAATGTTCTTAACTAAAAATAAAAAACTGGCATTATATTTATAATTAAATTTCAGCAGATCTACGATAGTTGGTGGATATTGTGGTAGCTAAATTATACTATCATGTTAATTTTAGCAAGATTTAAAGTGTTTTGATGAAAAATACAAAATTTGTGTACACTACCATGTTCATATTATTATATCTGTTATTGCATAAAGGAAGTTTTTTGAAGAGTTACATATTCAGAGCAGTTTAGCTTGTTAAGCTGAGTCTTCCTGAAAGTCACAAGATAGACAGCCCTCAGTTTAATAGACCTCTGTTTAATGGACTCTGGAAATATGGAATAAAATCAGCTAGGTCAGTTGATTTGGTATCAATAGACACAGTCCATTGATTGAACAACTGACTGTGTTATCAAAGTAAAATATTCTTATCTATACCACAGTTGCCATTATTGGTCACCCAATATTCCCTATTAGACAGCTAAATCAGTCTGCAATGGACTGTTATGTCCATTGTTCCCTGAAGGGAGACATCTTAATGTCAGTGAGAGACTTTGCATCCAAGGAATAGGCCTTAACCTCTCCTTCCTTGTATTAAACCTGAATGCCTCCCATTCCTCAGGAACTATGTGACCCCTATATGTTTAGTGCTTCCCCATGCATAAAATGAAAAATATATGTATAGATGCACTGTTATTTAGTACTACTGTATGTACAATATTCACATTCTAATCTTTAAAATAGAACATTTAAAAACTGAGGTAAAGCCAGTATTGACAAATGTAATGCTAATAAGGCTGTGTATGTTGAGGATTTACCAACAGTATTTTAAGTCTAGCGTAAGCCTCTTAATTCATGAAATTCAGGTAAGAATGATGATAAAAATATATTAAATATGGATCCCTCTTGTTCTATTGTTAAATATCATTTAATAAATGAATAATTTAATTTAGAAATATATTTCAGTATTTGTATAATGAGGAAAGTTGTTGCAAGTTGTCTTCAACTGTTTTAATAAATAAAAAATATATTTTCTTCATACTTTGTTTTATTTTGTTAATTGATTTCGTTTCACCTCATGAAGTTGAAGTGAATCAGATTTATATAGCATAACTGTAAGTCTCACATATACAGTATATTCTTCTCACTGTGCCTTCCCCCTTGATTATAATAATAATAATAATAATTGAGGAATATATATTACCTGGAGTTTACGTGGAGAGAGTTCCGGGGGTCAACGCCCCCGCGGCCCGGTCTGTGACCAGGCCACCTGGTGGATCAGAGCCTGATCAACCAGGCTGTTGCTGCTGGCTGCACGCAAACCAACGTACGAGCCACAGCCCGGCTGATCAGGAACCGACTTTAGGTGCTTGTCCAGTGCCAGCTTGAAGACTGCCGGGGGTCTGTTGGTAATCCCCCTTATGTATGCTGGGAGGCAGTTGAACAGTCTCGGGCCCCTGACACTTATTGTATGGTCTCTTAACGTGCTAGTGACACCCCTGCTTTTCATTGGGGGGATGTTGCATCGTCTGCCAAGTCTTTTGCTTTCGTAGTGAGTGATTTTCGTGTGCAAGCTCGGTACTAGTCCCTCTAGGATTTTCCAGGTGTATATAATCATGTATCTCTCCCGCCTGCGTTCCAGGGAATACAGTTTAGGAACCTCAAGCGCTCCCAGTAATTGAGGTGTTTTATCTCCGTTATGCGCGCCGTGAAAGTTCTCTGTACATTTTCTAGGTCAGCAATTTCACCTGCCTTGAAAGGTGCTGTTAGTGTGCAGCAATATTCCAGCCTAGATAGAACACGTGACCTGAAGAGTGTCATCATGGGCTTGGCATCCCTAGTTTTGAAGGTTCTCATTATCCATCCTGTCATTTTTCTAGCAGATGTGATTGATACAATGTTATGGTCCTTGAAGGTGAGATCCTCCGACATGATCACTGGTGAGGCTTTTCATTCAAGGCAATGAACTTATCCTCTCATTTTTTGGATCATATGTGATTGCATTTGATTTCCCATGGGCTCTATGACCCATATGGGTTTAATGCTGCTCCCTCATTATTATTATTATTATTGTAACAATGTACCCAAACAACAAAACTGTCACACATGATACTCTTAAAACCATATTTCTATATGTGATATGGTTTTTTCTTATGGGTTTAATGCTTAGTTATGATTATGATAATAATAGTGTCACATAATAATAACTGATAATAACTCACGCTCAGAGAGGAAACTTGAGACGATGTCTTGTCTATCCTTGACCATTATTAAAGCCACTTAAAGAAAAAACAAAGAGGTACAATAAAACTCTTGGAGCAGGGAAAGAGTAGACCTAGAAGTGACCAGTGAAGGGCCAGGGCCAGGAGCTGTAATTCGACCCCTGCAACCACAAACAGGTGAGTACAGGCTGGGAAAAGAGAGGGAAAATAAGGTAATGGTGGTGGTAGGAGAAGGAGTAGGGAACAGTAGCAGCAGCAGCAGGAGCACTACTACTACAACTACTGCTGTATAGCCCTTGTGGCTTAGCGCTTCTTTTTGATTATAATAATAATAATACTACAACTACTACTAATGACCATTTTAACTACTTCTAGTACTTTAAACCTGATGTTAGGCCTTACATTATCCTTGACTGGTGGTGAACAAGTTGCTGCAGCCTTGAGAACCATCCAGGACACACTGTATAGTCGATAGTCTTTCAACCCAGTTAACCAACCAACTACTGCAGTGCTCCTCCTGGTAAAGTATCACATCTGATGTACTCTTGAATAAGTTTTCAATCACTAGACCAGACTCTGTCGCACTGCAAACCGAGAGAGGTAATCCACTTATCTTGTAACCCAGACAACCCCCTCCCCTTGGACGTCAAGTAAGCCTCCTGGACGTCAAGTAAGCCTCTTGGACGTCAAGTAAGCTCCCTGGACGTCAATTAAACCCCCTGGACGTCAAGTAAGCTCCCTGGACGTCAAGTATGCTCCCTGGACGTCAGTTAAGCCCCCCGGACGTCAAGTAAGCTCCCTGGACGTCAAGTATGCTCCCTGGACGTCAGTTAAGCCCCCCGGACGTCAAGTAAGCTCCTTGGACGTCAGTTAAGCCCCCTGGACTTCAAGTAAACTCCCTAGACGTCAGACAAGCCCCCTAGACGTCAAGTAAGCTCCCTGGACGTCAAGTAAGCCCCCCTGGACGTCAGTTAAGCTCCGTGGACGTTAAGCTCCTTGGACGTCAAATAAGTCCCCTGGACGTTAAGTAAGCTCATTGGACGTCAAGTAAGCCCCCTGGACGTTAAGTAAGCTCCTTGGACGTCAGGTAAGCCTCCCTGGACGTCATTTAAGCTCCCTGGACGTCATTTAAGCTCCCTGGACGTTAGTAAGCCTCCCTGGACGTCAATTAAGCTCCCTAGACGTCAAGTAAGCTCCTTGGACGTCAAGTAAACTCCCTGAATATCAATTAAGCTCCCTGGACGTCAGTGTACGTAAGAGGTCTATTAACTTTACCTGAAACCCCTCAAGACCCAGGAGCTACAACACAACCCTACCAAGAGGGGCCGGAGATCAATAATTTCAAGAGAACCAGAAACTTTAGCTCAACAAAATCAAGAAGCTTAAAGCTTCCCCTCTTGGAAGATTCAGGAGCTATGTATCAACATCCTCAAACGATATTTGTGTCTGGTGGTGTCTGTGTCTGGTGGTGTCTGTGTCTGGTGGTGTCTGTGTCTGGTGGTGTATGTTTGTGTCTGGTGGTGTCTGTGTCTGGTGGTGTATGTTTGTGTCTGGTGGTTTTCTGTGTCTGGTGGGGTTTGTTTGTTTTCTGGTGGTGTCTGTGTCTGGGGTGTATGTTTGTGTCTGGTGGTGTCTGGTTGGTGGTGTATTTGTGTCTGGTGGTGTCTGTGTCTGGTGGTGTATGTTTGTGTCTGGTGGTGTCTGTGTCTGGTGGTGTATGTTTGTGTCTGGTGGTGTCTGTGTCTGGTGGTGTATGTTTGTGTCTGGTGGTGTCTGTGTCTGGTGGGTATGGTTTGTGTCTGGTGGTGCATGTTTGTGTCCCGGTTTGGGGCATGTTTGTGTCTGGTGGTGCATGTTTGTGTCTGGTGGTGTATGTTTGTGTCTGGTGGTGTATGTTTGTGTCTGGGGGGTGTATGTTTGTGTCTGGTGGTGTATGTTTGTGTCTGGTGATGTATGTTTGTGTCTGGTGGTGTATGTTTGTGTCTGGTGATGTATGTTTGTGTCTGGTGATGTATGTTTGTGTCTGTGATGTTGTTTGTGCCTGGTGATGTATGTTTGTGTCTGGTGGTGTATGTTTGTGTCTGGTGATGTATGTTTGTGTCTGGTGATGTATGTTTGTGTCTGGTGGTGTATGTTTGTGTCTGGTGGTGTATGTTTGTGTCTGGTGGTGTATGTTTGTGTCTGGTTTACCTGGAGTTTACCTGGAGAGAGTTCCGGGGGTCAACGCCCCCGCGGCCCGGTCTGTGACCAGGCCTCCTGGTGGATCAGAGCCTGATCAACCAGGCTGTTACTGCTGGCTGCACGCAAACCAACGTACGAGCCACAGCCCGGCTGATCAGGAACCGACTTTAGGTGCTTGTCCAGTGCCAGCTTGAAGACTGCCGGGGGTCTGTTGGTAATTCCCCTTATGTATGCTGGGAGGCAGTTGAACAGTCTCGGGCCCCTGACACTTATTGTATGGTCTCTTAACGTGCTAGTGACACCCCTGCTTTTCATTGGGGGGATGTTGCATCGTCTGCCAAGTCTTTTGCTTTCGTAGTGAGTGATTTTCGTGTGCAAGTTCGGTACTAGTCCCTCTAGGATTTTCCAGGTGTATATAATCATGTATCTCTCCCGCCTGCGTTCCAGGGAATACAGGTTTAGGAACCTCAAGCGCTCCCAGTAGTTGAGGTTAGGTTAGGTTAGGTAAGGTTCGTCAGGAAACAGGACAAATGTTTCCTGACGCGGGTCGTAGTCAGATGATGACCCGCCTTTGGTGATTTTGGCCATCTGACCGAGGCCTTCCGCTGGCTTACCGGTCCACCCCTTTAAAAATTATGGTCATTTATAACCATTGTTAAAAGTAGTAGTTGAGGTGTTTTATCTCCGTTATGCGCGCCGTGAAAGTTCTCTGTACATTTTCTAGGTCAGCAATTTCACCTGCCTTGAAAGGTGCTGTTAGTGTGCAGCAATATTCCAGCCTAGATAGAACACGTGACCTGAAGAGTGTATGTTTGTGTCTGGTGGTGCATGTTTGTGTCTGGTGGTGTATGTTTGTGTCTGGTGGTGTATGTTTGTGTCTGGTGGTGTATGTTTGTGTTGGTGGTTTTATTTTTTGTGTCTGGGGGTGTATGTTTGTGTCTGGTGGGTATGTTTGTGTCTGGTGTTTTATGTTTTGGGGTCTGGTGGTGTATGTTTGTGTCGGTGTGTATGTTTGTGTCTGGTGGTGTTTGTTTGTGTCTGGTGGTGTATGTTTGTGTCTGGTGGTGTATGTTTGTGTCTGGTGGTGTATGTTTGTGTCTGGTGGTGTATGTTTGTGTCTTTGGGGGTGTATGTTTGTGTCTTGGTGGTGTATGTTTGTGTCTGGTGGTGTATGTTTGTGTCTGGTGGTGCATGTTTGTGTTGGTGGTGTATGTTTGTGTCTGGTGGTGTATTTTTGGTTCTGGTGGTGTATGTTTGTGTCTGGTGGTGTATGTTTGGTCTGGTGGTGTATGTTTGTGTCTGGTGGTGTATGTTTTGTTTGGGGGTGGGATGTTTGTGTCTGGTGGTGTATGTTTGTGTCTGGTGGGCATGTTTGTGTTTTGGTGGTGTATGTTTGTGTCTGGGGGGTATGTTTGTGTCTGGTGGTGTATGTTTGTGTCTGGTGGGGTATGTTTGTGTTTTGGTGGTGTATGTTTGTGTCTGGTGGTGCATGTTTGTGTCTGGTGGTGTATGTTTGTGTCTGGTGGTGTATGTTTGTGTCTGGGGGTGTATGTTTGTGTCTGGTGGTGCATGTTTGTGTCTGGTGGTATGTTTGTGTCTGGTGGTGTATGTTTGTGTCTGGTGGTGTAAAGCTTGT